TGTTTCAGTGTTTATTGACTTTTGAGAGGAATTCTTAGGGAAGTTGGAAGGTCGAAAAAATTTATACTCGTCGAACCACAAGAAACACTTTGGATACTTGTTTTGCAATTTTTATATTCATTTTAGTGTATTGGTAACTCCTTCATAGGTTTTCCTGGTCCACGTAGATTCAGCAATTTTTTTCAAAAACTGTGGTACCAATTTCGTTCTAAAAAACTGGACATTAACCAAATGATTTTAGATGGGTTTGGAACCATAACACTAATAACCCTGTTCTGTAAATCCAAATGTAAATGTAAATGTTTTTTTTACCCCACGGAATGAGAATAATCGATCTAATTTGGATGTTGTTTAATGGTAGAACTTTGTTTTTCCTTGGAATGCTATTTCTGCAGTGTCATGGTTGTCATTCCTGAAACCCTGAACTATTGAGTCGACTAAAGCTCCCAGATAAAAGAAATTGCTTCATGTTGTTAAACAGAACTTCCTTCGTCCCTGAAATACAATCAAACAAATTCAGTTTTTTCAGAAAAAGAAATAGACAAAACCAGTCATAGTTTAAGAAAAAAAAAAGTGGCCCATAAAAGGATGGAATCCGCCACTTTCGCAGTATTATCACGTGCCCTCACCAACGATGTTTCATCATCCATACGTTACGAAAAATAGGTCTATCGTTTCGGTTTGTCTGTCTGTCTGTCTGTCTGTCCGCCGTCTGTGCCGAAACCAAAATTCCTTCCTCCAGTACTTCTTCATTGTGGTTTATGAAACCGTGTTGAGTTTTTACCTTACGCCTCCAGATGTAGAACATTTTACAGTTAATTTAACTTTAAAATTGCAAAATAGAGTGCTTTGAAATCTTGCCCACCATTTTAAAGTTATCGGGAGCACGGTAAATCGTTGATCAAAATTTATCAGTTCATGCCCCTAGAGGAATTGATGTCATCTTAAAATTAATATGTAGAATAAATATAATTCAAATGTTAACAAGTAAGTAAGTTCGGGGCTATGAACTTAAGGTTTACGAATTTTTTGGAAAAAAATCAAAATTGTAGATATGAGAATTTTTCAATACTTCAGTTTTGGGATTTTTCAGTTCCTTAAATCAATTTTTCGATTTCTCGATTTTCATTTTTTCGATATTTTAGTGCCGGGATTTTTCGGTTTTTCACTTTTTCAATTTTTCGGTTCCTCAGATTTTCCATTTCTCGATTTTTCCAGTTTTCGGCTCTTTCATTTTTCAATTTTAAAATTTTCCGATGTTTCAATTTTTGATTTCTCAATTTCACGATAAACCAATTTTTTTATTTTCTCATTTCTCGATTTCCCCACTTTTCAATTCTTCAAATTTGCAATTCTTCGGTTTTTCGGTTTCTCAAGTTTTTGATTTATTAATTTTTCGATTTTTCGATTTCTCGATCTTTCAATTTTCGATATTTGGGTTTTGGGATTTTTCAATATTTTGAATGTTCAATTTTGCGATTTTTCGAATTCTCAATTTTTTACTTTTTCGATTTTTCAGTTTTTTAAGTTTTAAATTTTAGAATTGTCAATTTTGGGTTTTCCGATATCTCGATTTTCGATATTCCGGTTTTAGGGTTTTTCAATTTTTTTGTTCAATTTTTCGATTTCCCGATTTTTTAAGTTTTTCCAGTTCCTTGATAACTTTTCGATATTTCAGTGTTGGGATTTTCAATTCTACAATTTTCCGATTCTCAAGTTTCCGATGTTTCGGTTTTGCGATTCTTAAATTTCTGACTTCTAACTTTCCAATTATTCAATTTTCCAATTTTTCGATTAAGCAATTTTTTTATTTTCTCATCTCTGGATTTCTGGACTTTTCAATTTTTCGATTTTTCAGTTTTCCAATTCTTCAATTTTTTGATGTTTCAGTTTTGGGAGTTTCCAATTATTCGACTTTTCAATTTTTCTTCCATTTTTCAATTTTTCCACATTCCACTTTTGGGATTTTGCAACATGTGGTTTTTCAATTTTTCGATTTTTAATATTTCGATTTCTCGATTTTTCAGTTTTTCGATTTCTCAATTTGTCTGTTTCTCCCATTTTCAATTTTGGCGATATTTCACTTTTGGGATTTTTCAATATTTTGATTCCTCGATTTTTCGATTTTTTAACTTTCAGACTTTTCAATTTCTGAGTTTTTTATTTTTTCGATTTTTCAGTTTTCCTAGTTTTAAATTTTAGAATTATTAATTTTTCACATTTTCGACTTTTGATATTTCGATATTTTAAATTTTAGATCTTCCAAATTCTAGATTTTTCGATATTTCAGTTTTGGGATTTTTCAATTTTTTATTCAATTTTTCGATTTCTCAATTTTTCAGTTTCTTGATAATTTTTCGGTATTTCAGTGTTAGAATGTTTCAATATTTCAATTTTTCGATTTCTCAAATTTTTGGTTTCTCAATTTTTTCATTTTTCGATTTCAAGTTTCCGACGTTGAATTTTAAGATTTTTCAATTTTTGACTTCTAACTTTCAATTTTTGGTTTCTCATTTTCTCGATTAAGCGATTTTTTGATCTTCCTATTTCTCAATTATTCGATTTTTCAATTTTTCAAATCTTCAATTTTTCGGGTTTTGAGATTTTCGATTTTTCGGCTTCGATTTTTCGACTTTTCGATTTCTCGATTTATCAAATTTTCGATTTTTTTGATGTTTCAGTTTTGGGATTTTGAAATTTTTCAATTTTTCCATTTCTGATGTTTCAAAGTCTCGATTTATCAAATTTTCGATATTTTAATTTTTCAATTCTTTTTAATGTTAGATAATTCGATTTCACGGTTTTCTACTTTTTTGATTTATCAATTTTTCGATTTTCCGGTTTAAAAATTTTTCGATTTTTCCATTTTTTATTTTTCGATTTCTCGATTGTGGCCTGTTTCGATTTCACAATTTTTCGATTTTTCGACTTCTCGATTTCTGGATTTCTCCAACTTTTGACGGTTAGATTTCGCATTGTTTCAGTTTTTCGACTTTTCAATTTTCCATTTTTTCGATGTTTGGAGTTTTCATTATTTCGATTTCCCAATTTTTCGCCGCTTCAGTTGTGGAATTTTTCATTTTTTCGATTAGTCAATTTTCCGAATTTTCAATGTTTGCAATTTTTAAAATTTATCCGATTTTTCGGTTTTTTACTTATTTGAGTTTCCAATTTTTCGATTTTCAGGCTTCAAAATTTTTGGATATTTCGATTTTTGACTTCGATTTCTCATTTTTCGATTTATCAACTTTCCGATTTTTGAATTTCTATATCTTTTGACGTTTCGATTTCTTGATGTTTCAATTTTTGAATTTTTCGATGTTTCGTTTTTTCGATTTTTTAGTTTTTCGACTTTCTGGCTTTTCGATATTTCAATTTCCCAATTTTTCGTCGTTTCAATTGTCAAATTTTTTTTTCGGTTTTCGATTTGGCAGTTTTTGGATTTTTCGACTTTTAAATCTTAGATTTTTGAACTTTTTTTTGAATTTTACATTTTTTCGATTTGTCAATTTTTCGATTTTCCGGTTTCAAAATTTTTGGATTTTTCGATTTTTGACTTTTCGATTTTGGCTTATTTCCATTTCTCAATTTTTCGATTTTTCGACGTTTAAATCTTAGATTTTGGACTTTTTCTTAAATTTTCCTTTTTTTTTAATTCTCAATTTTTCGATATTTTGATGTTTCAATTTCTTTACATCTTAGTTTTGCAATTTTTTAAATTTTACGACTTTTCAAGTTTTAGATTTCTCAGTTTTTCAAGTTTTCGATTTCTCAAGTTTTCAACGTTTGAATGTTAGGAATTTGTTCAATTTCCTGATTTTTTAATTTTTTGAATTTTAAATATTCATTTGAACTTCGTCCCCTTGAAATTTCTTGAAAAATAGGTACGAATACTTTCGTAGAATCAACGAGAACCCATATTGCATGCCATTTTTTCCTACTCGCACTTTTTCATGATTCCCTTGATGTTTCAATAAGGATAAGAAGATTGAACAATAAATTTTCATTATATTGTAAAAACAATCCTAAATTTAACTTTACCGAGAAACAAATGTTTTAAGACGGTTTGTATGAGCCTGTCTGACATACCGAATTTTCTAATACTCTACTAATGACATTAGTTGAGTTTGGACGTAAACTCCAGAACATAGTAACTTTGATATGTATCGTTTGTTGTGGTTTCATCATCTAGTTGCTTCACTATTCGTGTTTGGGAAATTTCCGCCTCAAATATAAGATTTTTTCAAAACGTTAGACGTAAAGCGCATGAGCGCGAATTTCGGCGGGAAATTTGACTCTCTACAACGCAAAATAAGAAAATCCCCATCAAAATTTACTTTGACTAGTCTCACAAAACCCCGTAACTCTGAATAAATTAAAAAAAATAAACAATTCAATGCTCCAATAAACAGCAACCCCTAAATTAACCACTTTCAGTTAATTTATCTCATTACTAGCACATCCCGCTTCGCTGATACCACCACACTCCTAATTATCGACGACAACCTACTTGAATCACTCGGAGTAAAATATCGACAAGCAACAGAACAAAATTTATTCCAACCGAGATGATTCGTGTTGACTAATCAATATCCATCCCGTTCCATTACAAACGAGCACGCTGCACATAACCCTTATTAAAAAATTCTATTACTAAAAAACTAATTGCGCTCCTCATTACCATAATCATGCATTTAAAGCGCACAAAGCTCCTTTGTCGATTATGAATGGAGATTTGAACGAAAAAACTGGGTCAGAACAAACATTATGGCGCTGCGAACAGCATCGGCCTGCCACCTCGCGCAAGAACGGCGAACCCGGAAAGAGCGCGCCGCAGCGGCCTTTAACCCTTAACTTTAAGTAGGCACCTTCCTCGAACAGACGGACGGCCGAAAAAAATCGTTACATTTGGACTTCGGTGGTTATTTAATTTTGCAAAAATAAATTAGATTGTGCTGTCACATGTAATGTCAGGATTAAAAGTTGTACTTTCTGTCAAGCCCCCAAGTTCGAAAATGAACGCAAGGTGAGCGACTTAGGTTTGGGTAAACTTAACAAAGTTTGTTACACTTGATCTAAGCATAGAAAAACTGAGATCGTATACGTTTTGACCTTTTGTTTGACATGTACTTGTTTGAAAATTGCAAAATTGATTTGGCCTGCGATGACCCCGATTCTTAGGAATCCCTATTTGATAAAGCCCCGAATGCAGGTACTTGCAGTCTTTTTACACTTGAGGCGTTTTGCTATCTTATCGCACTATCGCCCCACACCCATCTATTATCACTTATCAGTCCAGAGGCACGGTTACCCATCCCACAACCACGCCGCCTTATCAAGGCGATAAGCTGTTGTTGTTTTGTACTCACTGTTTTATTTTATCATTGAAATCCCGTTTCAAAGGTCAGTTTATAAATAGTTTAACTTTCTACACGTTGATTCAGTCTCGTTCCGGCAACCAGCTCCACAATGTCGACCTCTTCGGCTATGGACTCGAATTGCCTTACCTTGACGAGGTTCGTTCTCGCCGAGCAAAAAAAGGTACCTTATGCCACCGGCGAACTCACCCAACTTTTAAATTCGATCCAGACGGCCGTCAAAGTTATCAGTAGTGCAGTACGCAGGGCCGGCATTACCCAATTGTAAGTAACCCAACTTGATAAGACAGTGCTAATTTGGTTAACACAGATTCGGCACCGTTGGCGAAACCAACGTTCAAGGTGAAGAAGTCAAGAAGCTCGATGTTTTGGCCAATGAACTCTTCATCAACATGCTGGCGTCCTCCTACACGGTGGGGCTGTTGATTTCGGAAGAAAATGAAACCGTTATTGAGGTTCTACCTTGTTTTTAGTTTCGCCAGAAATATATATAATTTGTTTTGGTAGATAGAGACCGATAAAAAAGGTAAATACATCGTGGCGTTCGATCCTCTAGATGGTTCTTCCAATATCGACTGCTTGGTCTCCATTGGGTCCATCTTCGCGGTTATGAAAAAAGAGGACAATTCGATTCCGTCGTTGAAGGATGCTCTTCTATCTGGCAATAGAGTAGTGGCGGCTGGGTATGCCCTCTACGGTAGCGCTACCATGTTGGTAATTTCAATGGGCAATGGTGTCAATGGGTTCATGCTTGACCCTTCCATCGGCGAGTTTATTTTAACCGACAAGGACATGACAATTCCTAATAAAGGTAACATCTATGCCATAAATGAGGGCTACACGCATCTATGGGACGACGCTATTCGGGAATACGTCCAAACCAAGAAAGACCCGTCCAAGGGAAAACCCTATAACGCCAGATACGTGGGCTCGATGGTAGCTGATATCCACAGAACGATTAAATACGGAGGGATTTTCATTTATCCGGCCACCAGTGCGTCCCCAAAGGGCAAAGTAAGTTTCCACAATTTTAGACTTTGTAATTTTATTTTTGTTTGCGTTTTTAGTTGAGACTACTATATGAATGTGTTCCCATGGCGTATTTGATAACGCAAGCTGGGGGGTTAGCCTACGATGGGCACATTCCGATTTTAGACATAAAGGCCGAAAGTCTGCACCAGAGAACACCGGCGTTTTTGGGCTCCAAGGAAGATGTTCAGGAAATTTTGGCAATAATTAAGAAACACAAAAAGTAGAGAGCGGATTAGTTATATGTTTTTAAATAAAAATTTGATATTTTGGTTGTGTAATTGTTGGGTCATCCACAATAACGCTGTAACTTTGCCAAGGTGAAAGTTTATATTTATCGCGTTGCGTTTTATTATTTTATTAGTCATTGTTATAAGATTCGCAAGCGGAAAAATTTCGAATGCAAATTAACTGTAGATGTAGTTGTGTATTTGTCTTAGATAAGCGGACAACATTCAGTCGCACTGGGTGTACATTTCAGAAAAGAACCATATTTTCTTTTCGGGACTTTTTTCCATTAAAATTTGTTGCTAAGTACGAACAAAGCCATAATTGTTAACCCAAGGACCGAAAAATTTATAAGTATGAATGCATCTGTATATTGGGTTGCATACTTTATAACCTAACCTCAAAAATCCAAACATATTTAGAGAGCTTTTTTTGATAAAATAGCTGTTATCAATCGTATCACAGTCTTGCTACACAGTTATTAATACCTCTGTTTCTATTTTGTTGCAAAAAATTACAAATGTACGCAACAAAAGCACACTTTTTTTTATTTATTTTAAACACAGATTTAAACATTATGGAGATGTGTTAAATTCTTACCTTAAAGTGGCAATTGATGTACACAAAAACACAGTCTATACAATGCAAAGTCTTTTGAATTTAACACAAATGCAGCAGTTGTTATATTATTTATTATAACTTTAACACTACAACAAACAACAAATTTTGGGTTGTGTGTATAGTTGCTTGCATAACTGATGTCACAAAAGTGTGAAAATCAAACTATGCACTTGATTTGAAATAGTAAAATTCATTATTAAGGACAAATTAATTGTTTGACTATAAAATAATAACAAAAACTGCTAAAATGTTTGTATAAAATTAATATTTCTGTAAATGTGTTTAACTGGTTGCATACACTAAAAATGTTTTATAAGTTTCTAAATACAAATAATAATAAATCAAATTAAAAACCACGTAAAACATCATCGAAGACAATGTTTTACTTTTTAGTTTTTAATTAAACGGGTATCCATTCATTAATTTTAATTTTTTGTATTAACGTTTGATTATTTTTGTAACCAACACACAAAACGCAAAAGACAAAATCCCTGTTAAAAACACCAGAATTCATGTTTTGACGTTTATCGTGACGTTTACGATGTCGCGTCAGCAACACGACGACGAGCTTTTCGAAATAAGAAACTACTACTACATCGGAAACTACCAACAATGCATAAACGAAGCCCAAAAGCTCCGCCAGGTAAGCCCCAACCACCGCCCGTTTTCGCACTTAGAGGTTATGTTTAGCCGTCAACTCCCGAGGTGGCCATTCAGCGAGACATCTTCACCTACCGCTCCTACATGGCCCAGAACAAATTCCTGGTGGTACTCGATGAAATCACGTCTTCGTCGGCCGACGAAGTCCAACCCTTGAAACTACTGGCGGAATATTTATCCAATAAACAAAAACGCGAGTCAGTGGTGGCCCAGGTGGACCAGAGGGTGGCGAGCAATGTCGAAAACGACACTCTAGCGCTCGTGGCGGCCACGATTTACGTCAATCAGAGCAATCTGGAGGCGGCTTACAGGATTTTGCACACCTCTGAGAGTTTGGAGGCTTTGGCTTTCAGTATTGATATTTTGTTGAAGATTGACCGGGTTGATTTGGCTAGGAAGAAGTTGAAGGAGATGCAGGAGAAGGATGATGATGCGACGTTGACGCAGCTGGCACAAGCGTGGGTGAATGTTGCTACAGTAAGTTGGATTAAGTGTGTCGGTATTGTTTGTTATTATTTTTTTATTATTGTAGGGTGGTGAGAAGTTGCAAGATGCCTATTATATTTATCAAGAGCTTGTGGACAAGTATGGGGCGACGCCGCTACTTTTAAACGGACAGGCGGTGGCTTTCATAGGACAGGCTAAGTATGAAGAAGCCGAAGCTGCTCTTCAGGAAGCCCTAGACAAAGATGCTAATTATCCAGACACTTTGGTTAACTTGATTGTTTTGCATAGGCACATGGGGAAGACTCCAGAGGTCTGTTTTTTTTTTTTTTTTGTATCGTGGTTTGTAGTGTTTTTTATTTTTTTGTAGATTGGCAACCGGTATTTGTCTCAGTTGAAGGATGCCAACCCAGATCATCCCTATATTAAAGATTTGAAGCAGAAAGAGAGCGAGTTTGCAAGGATTTGTCAGCAGTATGCTCCATCAGTATCAAATATTCCAGCATAAATTGTTTATTTTGTAAAGTTTAGGTAATAAAATTGTTTAAAGGCGCAGTTTTATTTTATTAAAAAAGTTTGCTGCTATATCAAAAGCACCAATTCTCGTGTGTATATAATTACGTTAATTAATTGCTGTTAGAACTTTAAATTGTGGGGATAGCGGTGTGAGTGTTGTGTTGTATATTTATTTAAGTAAGTGTTTAGAGATTCGCTGGTCACTGTTGAATTACACCTGGGACACATTTGTGTTATGTATTTAGTTGTTTGTTGGTCTACTGCTAAGTAAAATGAAATAATAATTTCTCATGAAATAAAACGCATTAACAATAATTAGTTTGAAACTATGTCTTGAGCAGGAGTTGTTATTTTATGTATATTAGATTACTGTTTTCTTGGCTGAATATGTTTATAATCGCCTCAGGTCAAATATTTAACATAGACTAATAAATAATTTTTTTCCTGGATTTTGAAAGTGGAACTGACAATATCATAAACGTCTACGTCTACGTCTTTTATTACATTTTTCCTTGACGTTTTAGTTTTTAGAGTAATTGTTTTCCATTGTAGATATTTTATTGTTAAAATATTCAAAATATAAATATGGATAATACCTTGGTGCAATAAAAACAAATATTTTGGTTATTGGTGTTTCTTTTACGTTCAAAAACAAAACAAGGGATCTCCGAAATTTTTTCCAACTACTTAAAAAACAAAGACGAACGGTTTCCAAGAGTCTTAGATTCTTTCAAACTACTTCAAAAACAAAACACAAGAGCTTCTGAAGACTTTTTCAAATTACTTCAAAAATAAGACAACAAGGAATCCTGAGATTCTTTCAAATTACTTTAAAACAAGACAAGAGATCCTCAAATTTCTTTGAAACTACTTACTTCAACAATAAAACACAAAGAGTCCCCGAGATTATTTCAAATTATTTCAAAAACAAAACACAAGAGGTCCCTGAGATTCTTTCAAAATAAGTACTTCAAAAACAAAATACGCGGGCTCCCTGAGATTCTTTCAAATTACTGTAAAAACAACTTTCAATCTTCTTCAAAAACAAAACCACAAGGGGTCCCCGAGATTCTTTCAAATTAATACGTCAAAAACAAGATACGGGATCGCTGAGAATCTTTCAAAGTACCTAAGGTACTTCAAAAACAAAACACAGCGGGTTTCCTAGATTTTTTCAAATTACTTTAAAAAACCACACACGGGAATCACGGGATCCCCGAAATTCTTTCAATTTACTGTAAAAACAAAGCAAGGGATGCTCGACATGCTTTCAAACCACTTCGAAAACAAAACACAAGGAGTTCCCGAGATTCTTTCAAATTACTTCAAAAACAAGAATCACAGGCAGTTCCCGAGATTTATTCAAAGTACCTCAAAAACAAAACACACGGGGTCAACGAGATTTTTTCAAATTAATGTTTAAAGAACAAGACAAGGGATCCCCGAAATTCTTTCAAAGTAATTCAAAAACAAAGTACACGGGCTCCTTGAGAATCTTTCAAATTACTGTAAAAACAATGTCAAGGGATGTTTGAAATACTTTCAGTGTTCTTCAAAAACAAAACCTCCAGAGGTCTCCGAGATTCTTTCAAATTAATACTTCAAAAACAGGACAAGGGATCCCCAAGATTCTTTCAAAGTACCTACATCAAAAATAGAACACATTGGATCCCCGAGATTCGTTTAAATTACTTCAAAAACAAGACAAGGGTTCTCCGACATTCTTTCAAAGTATTTCAAAAACAAAATACACGAAGTGCTCGAGATTCTCTCAAGTTACTTTTAAAACAATGTTAGGGATCCCCGGATTAGTTTCAAATTAATACTTCAAAAACAAGACAATAAATCTCCGTGATTCTTTCAAAGTACTTCAAAAATAAAACACACTGGGTCCTCAAGATTCTTTCAAATTACTGTAAAATCAAGGCAAAGGATTGTCGAGATTCTTTCAAATTACTTCAAAAACAATACTCACCGGTAGTCCCAGAGAATTTTTCAAATTACTTCAAAAACAAGACAAGGGATCCTCAAGATTCTACGAAAGTATTTGATCAAAAACAAAATACATGAAGTTTTCAAGACTTTTTCAAATCGCTTTAAAGCAGGACAGGAGATCCCTGAATTTTTTTCAAATTAATACTGCAAAAACAATGCAAAGAATGCCCAAGATTCTTCCAAACTACTTCGAAAACAAAACACAAGGAGTTTCCGAGATTCTTTCAAATTACTTCAAAATCAGCCGGCAATTTCCGAGATTTATTCAAAGTACTTCAAAAACAAAACACACGGGGTCAACGAGATTATTTCAAATTACTGTAAAAACAACCTCAAAGAATGCCCGAGATACTTTTTAAACTTCTTCAAAAACAAAATATACGGGATCCTCAAGATTCTTTCAAATTAATACTTCAAAAACAAGACAAGGGATCCACGAGATTCTTCCAAAATACATTAAAAATAGAACACATTGGCTCAACAGGATTCTTTCAAATTACTTCAAAAACAAGACAAGGATTCCCCGACATTCTTTCAAAGTACTCCAAAAACAAAATACACGAAGTGTTCGAGATTCTGTCAAGTTACTTTTAAAACAATGTCAAGCGATCCCCGGATTAGTTTCAAATTAATACTTCAAAAACAAGACAAGAAATCTCCGCGATTCTTTCAAAGTTTTTCAAAAATAAAACACACTGGGTCCTCGAGATTCTTTCAAATTATTGTAAAATCAAGGCAAAGGATTGCCGAGATTCTTTCAAATTATTTCAGAAAGAAGACTCACTCGCAGTTCGCGAGATTTTATTAAAGTACTTCAAAAACAATACTCACCGGTAGTCCCAGAGAATTTTTCAAATTACTTCAAAAACAAGACAAGGGATCTCCAAGATTCTATGAAAATATTTGAATAAAAACAGACTACATGGAGCTTCCAAGATTTTTTCAAATTGCTTTAAAGCAAGACAAGAGATCCCTGAATTTTTTTCAAATTCATACTTCAAAAAGAAGACAAGGGAACCCCGAGATTCTTTCAAATTACTGCAAAAACAAGACTCACAGGCAGTTTCCAAGAATTATTCAAAGTATTTCAAAAACAAAACACACGGTGTCAAGATTAATTTAAGTTACTGTAAAAACAACCTCAAAGGATGCCCGAGATACTTTTTAAACTTCTTCAAAAACAAAACATACGGGGTCCTCAAGATTTTTTCAAATTAATACTTCAAAAACAAGACAAGGGATTCCCGAGATTCTTCCAAAATACATTAAAAATAGAACACACTGGGTCCCCGAGATTCTTTAAAATTACTTCAAAAACAAGACTCACAGGTAGTTTCACAAATTTATTCAAAGTACTTCAAAAACAAGACAACGGATCATCGACATTCTTTCAAAGTACTTCAAAAACAAAATGCACGAAGTCCTCGAGATTCTCTCAAGTTATTTTAAAAACAATGTCAAGTGATCCCCGGATTACTTTCAAATTAATACTTCAAAATTAAGACAAGATATCTCCGAGATTCTATCAAAGTGCTTCAAAAATAAAACACACTAAGTCCCCGAGATTGTTTCAAATTAATACTTCAAAAACAAACGAATGGCGTCCGCGGAATTCTTTCAAACTATAACTACTTCAACAACAAAACAAAATGGGTTCCCGAGATTCTTTCAAATTACTTCAAAAACAAGACTCACAGGCAATTTCCGAGATTTATTCAAACTATTTCAAAAACAAAACACTCGGTGTCAACGAGATTATTTCAAATTACTGTAAAAACAACCTCAAAGGATGCCCGAGATACTTTTTAAACTTCTTCAAAAACAAAACATACGGGATCCTCAAGATTTTTTCAAATTAATACTTCAAAAACAAGACAAGGGATCCCCGAGATTTTTCCAAAGTGCATTAAAAGTAGAACACACTGGGTCCCCGAGATTCTTTCAAATTACTTCAAAAACAAGACTCACAGGTAGTTTCCCAAATTTATTCAAAGTACTTCAAAAACAAGACAACGGATCATCGACATTCTTTCAAATTAATACTTCAAAAACAAACAAATGGCGTCCCCAGGTTTCTTTCAAACTACTTCAACAACAAAACAAAATGGTTTCCGAGATTATTTCAAATTACTTCAAAAACTTGACACAGAGTTCCTCGAGATTCTTTAAAACTAGGTATATCAAAAAAAAAAAAACACAAGGGATCCGCGAAATTATTTCAAACCACTTCAAAAACAAACAAATGGGGTTCCCGGGATTCTTTCAAACTACTTCAACAACAAAACAAAATGGGTTCCCGAGACTCTTTCAAACTACTTCAAAAACAAAACAAGGGATGCCCGAAATTATTTCGAACTACTTCAAAATTAAAACAGAAGGGTTTCCCGAAATTCTTTCAAACTACTTAAAAACGAGACAAGCAATCCCCTAGATTCTTTCAAACTACTTCAAAAACGAACAAATGGGGTCCCGGGATTCTTTCAAATTAATACATCAAAAACAAGATAAGGGATGCCTGAGATTCTTTCAAATTACTGTAAAAACAAGACAATAGATACCCGAGATTCTTTCAAACTATTTCAAAAACAACACAGAAGGGGTTCTCGAGATTCTTTAAAATTCTTCAAAAACGAAATACACGAAGTCCTCGAGATTCTCTCAAATTACTTCAAAAACAATGTCAAGGGATCCTGGAGATACTTTCAAATTAATATTTCAAAAACAAGACAAGGGATCTCCGTGATTCTTTCAAAGTACTTCAAAAATAAAACACACGGAATCCCCGAGATTCTTTCAAATTACTGTAAAAACAAGACAATGGGTCTTCGATAATCTTTTAAACTACTTCAACAACAAAATATAAGGGATCCCCGAGTTTCTTTCAAGTTAATACTTCAAAAACAAACAAATGGGGTCCTCGAGATTCTTTCAAACTTCTTCAACAACAAAACAAAATAGGTTTTAGAAATTCTCTCAAATTACTTCAAAACCTTGACACAGAGTTCCCCGAGATTCTTTAAAACTACGTCAAAAACAAAACAC